AAATACAATCTTGGGGCACCTGGGTAGCTCAGTGGTTAAGTATCTACCTTTGGCTCAGGTCATGATCCTGGGGTCAAATCCTGAATGGGGCTCCCCCTAGGGAGCCTGCTTCTCCCTCTGCCTATGTCTCTGCCTCTCTCTCTGTGTCTCTCATGAATAAGATCTTTAAAAAAATACAAAATTAAAATACAAATATCAAAATGAAACATACTGTGAATGCCAATGCCAAGTCTTTGTTTTTAGAAATGTTTAAGACAAGATTTGTATGTTTTTAAAACTGTCTTCCTAGGTCATACTAAAAATCTCCTTAGTCTAATGTCTGATCTTTGTTAGGAGCCCCAAGGAGCCACTTTGTGGGTCAATGTGGTTATCTTCCATATGTGCCTACCACTCCAACTTGCCATTAGTTCTTCAACATAATGCTTTTCTCCCTCTATTAATTTATCTTAAACTTATCAGCTTATTCTAATTGTAAAAAAACTACATTTTTAAAGTTTGAAATCGAATGCTTCAGAGTGTTCTAGGATTCCAAGTATTTTAAACAAGCTATGATAATAAAGTCTAATGTAAAATTTAAAACAGAAGCTTGTACTGGAGGGTTTTCTTTTCTTTCTTTTGTATTAATCTATTTTACATTTATACTTCAAGTGGGATACAGGGTTCTACTCTAGCTCTACTGTTAACTAGCATGATCCTGAATACATTTCTTAACCAATTATAGGTTTGATTTTCTCATAAAAAGCATGTTTATTATCTATCCTGGGTTGCAAGATTCAAGTAAAAAGTAGATGTAAAAGTGCTTAGAAATACAGCGTGACATTTATTATTCCAGGTTTTTCATATCATCATAAAATAACGATGTAATAATGGACTGTTTTAGATTTTCCATTAAGTACCTTCTGACTCTAAAAATTCTTCGAATCCTTATCAACACTATAGTACCTGTAAGACAGCATGAGCTATTTAAAGATATTTTCCTTTAAAAATTTGTTATGTTTTTTTACTTTTAAAGGGCATGTGCTGGGGCACATGGGTGACTCAGTCGGTTAAGCGTCTGCCTTTAGCTGAGGTCATGATCTCAACGTTCTGGATGCGAGCCCCACATCAGGCTCCTTGCTCAGTGGGAAGTCTGCTTCTCCCTCTCCCTCTGCCCCCCTGCTCATTTTCCTCTTGCTCTATCTCAAATAAATAAATAAATATACATATATTTTAAAGATTTTACTCATTTATTTGAGAGACAATGTGTGAGCACAAGCAGGGGGTGCAGCAGAGGATGAGGGAGAAGCAGCAGTCTTGCCACTGAGCAGGGAGCCCTGCTAGGGGCACTGGATCCCAGGTCCCTGAGATATGACCTGAGCTGAAGGCAAATGCTCAACCCACTGAGCCACCCAGGTGTCCCAAATAAAATCTTAGGAAAAAAAGCATATGCTGCCAAACTATTCCCTTAAAAAAAAAAAAAAAAAAGAAAAAAACTTTTTTTGAAAGAAAATATTTTTAAAAGATTTGAGAGAGCATGTGCACTAGCACAAATGCGTGGAGGAGGAGAGGCAAAGGGAAAAGAGAATCTTAGGCAGACTCCTCACTGAACACAGAGCCCAATGTGGGGGCTCAATCTCATAATCCCAGCCCAAACCAAGAGTCAGATGCTTAACTAACTGCACCACCCAGGTGCCCATAGTAAGTACATATTTTAAAAATATGATAAAGCAAATGTATTTCACAATATGATTCAAGGCTGAGAAACTGGACAAGTTTTTAAGCTGGTGGCAAATAAAAACTTTTAAAATTGTAATTGAAGGAATGGAAGCTTAGTGTACATAAGAATCTATCTTATGTACATTACATAAGATAGATCTTTTTGATGGAGGTGACAAGTATGACAAGTGGCTTGTTGCTTAACCTAGAAAAATAGGGATCCCTGGGTGGCACAGCGGTTTAGCGCCTGCCTTTAGCCCAGGGCGTGATCCTGGAGACCCGGGATCGAATCCCACGTCAGGCTCCCCGTGCATGGGGCCTGCTTCTCCCTCTGCCTATGTCTTTGCCTCTCTCTCTCTCTCTCTCTCTCTCTCTCTCTGTGTGACTATCATAAATAAATACAAATTAAAAAAAAAAACCTAGAAAAATAAATGCACCTGAAATAAGGCAAAACATATTTCTAAGTATTTTCAGACTCTAGCCTATTTTCACGTAAGTGTCAATCCTATTTTCATGTAAGAAACAAAGGTCATAAACTGGTAGCTTTTGGTCCTATGCAGTTAAATGTCTTCCTGGCTCACTAAATGTTTAAAAAGTATTTGAACCAGTGTTTAAAAATCAGAATATTTCACTTAAAGTCCAAATTTCAGCTCCTCTTGACAAATCTGGCAACACTGGGCCCATATTCCCATATGGCAAAATTTGGCTAGGGCTGGGAAGTAATGTCCCATTTAGATGAACATGGGGAGTCCTCTAGTCCCCTCTACTGCCTATTGTTCCATCTCCCTTACCGTCCCCATTGCTACAGGCACTTGACTTCACAACTTCAGAAGGATACAGAACCACTATAACACATTATAGGCCAAATGTCCTATTTTATCATTAATAGGTATTAAGAAACAAAAATACAATCTTTGAGAACTGAGGGAGATGCCAAAAGCAATGTATTTATGTAAAGGACAATAAAGGATAATTTTTGGTGAATATTTATTCATTTAGATCCTTTTAAGTAAATTCAATCTGCTCAGTACAGGTTGTGGATGGCTACGCAGAAATAGTAGGAAAAATATGAAACATTTTGTTTTTTTCAGGACTTAGATTGACTGATAGATGAATTTTCTTTCTTTCTTTTCTTAAATATTTATTTATTCATGAGTGAGGCAGAGACATAAAGGGAGAAGCAGACTCCTTGCAGGGAGCCTGATGAGGTACTTGATCCTTAGACCAGGATCACGCCCTAAGCCAAAGGCAGATGCTCAACTGCTGAGCCACTCAGGAGTCTCGATAGATGAATTTTCAAACAGATTAGATTTCTGAATGTAAACTAACATGAAGAAAAGGTGAAGGAGGGAGCCCCAAAAGAAAGTGTTTTTCAGCAGATATATAGTAGTAATGTTCATTCTCACTCAAGCGGCTGCCTACTTGCTAGCAGAGCTTAATTTGGACTGATAATATTCATCTGGAGATGCCAAATAACATCATATGTCATGTGGTTGGAAACTATACTAGTTCTATTCTGTTTTGCTATCTGGCATCTGCTGGTAGAAAAATGTTGCAACATGTTCAATTTGGCTAATTAATTTAGACTCATGTGAATAAAATGTGCGTTGTCTAGCTTCTGAACCGTGCCTAGGCCTAAGAACAGGAACTGTTCTTCTTGGATGAACTTGGATGATGCCACCGGTTCTGGTATACTTCACTAGCAGACACTACTATTAAGTTAATAGAAAATGACACATCCTACTCACACAAAATACCAGATGGCCAGCAGTTGCCTTGGTATCTGCTTTGATAACATCAAGATTCATCTGTATTTGAATTGCAGGGCCCACACATCTTTCATCAACAATCCTCAGGGTGCCAGGAGTTGAAACTCATGAAACTGTGCTGACATCAGTACACTGCTGCAGATTATATCGCATCAGCTCCAAGTGTCGGCAAAGTAGCAGCAACACTTTACTATAGGCAGACAGTTCAGGATGCTAGCACTTACTCTTCATAGGCAGGAGGATTAAACGCTAAACCCTTCTTTGTAGGATACCACAGGAGGTAGTGTGTGCAGAGAAGTGGGATGGATTTATTTATTTATTTAATTTTTTCCTGTGGGACGGATTTAACTAGCAACATATGACATGGGTAGATACAGTTATTTGAGAAGGCTTAATCATGATTGGCAAAGTATGAATACTGTAAAGTATTCTTGCAAAATAAGCGGAATTTAATCAAGCCTCTAGATCAACTTCTGACTTACAAGAAATAAGAAAAAAGGAGACATTCAAAAACACCTTTGGCTTGAACTTTTTAAAATGACAATGTTACAGGGGAAAAAAAGATAAGGGAGTTGGTCTAGATTAAGGCTAGAGTTACAACACCCATATACAATACATAAACCTTGACAGGGTCCTGAATTCTGTTGCAGAAGCTATTAACTTCTTTAGTTGTGATAATGATAACATGTTTTGCAGAACTTTCTAATTACTAGGGAGTATATTTTGGAAATGTTAGAGATGTCTGCTTAACAATAGGTGTCTGTAACCTATTTCCAAATAATTTAATGACAACGAAAAAAGCATGAAAATAAGGATGAAATAAATATGGCAAAACGTGGGGCACCTGAGTGTTTCAGTGGTTGAGCGTCTGCCTTTGGCTCAGGTTGTGATCCTGGGGTTCTGGGATTGAGTCCTGCATCAGGCTCCCTGCAGGGGACCTGCTTCTCCCTCTGCCTCTCTCCAATGTTTATTATATTGTTTTGACTTTTTTATGCATAATTTTTTTTAATTGAGGGAAGAAATCATGTTGGAAAGACTTCAGAGGGGAAATCTAAGAAAAGGTTGAGTAACAAGAGCAACGCTGCATTTGATCGACTGAAGCTGGCAGTGTCTTAGGCACCCGGCAGACACCAAACATATACAATCTTTTTAGTAGTATTTACCAAAACAGTATCATGTGCAGGATAAAGATGATAAGACAAAATCATTCCATTCAGATGTAAACACAGCAGTAAAGCTAAAAACATAAGCAGCTGTCATATAAAACAGTGGTTGTCATAAAAGCAGCATAAAAAGTGCTAGGTAAGCACAGAGGAAATTACTTCCTGTTGGAGACAATCTGGAAACACATCTCCAAGGATGAGTGGGGCATGGAAACAGTCACCAAAGGTTAGTGCTTCAATGATTAATTTTGGAAGAAACAAGAGTAGTTAGCTCATTTTGGCTAAAGCGTGGGTAGTATGGGAAGCAGAAAGGAGAAAAGGCAGGTCTGCACCCTTGTTGGCTGGCTGGGCAAGTACATTTTTCCCCATTTACCTGAAAGTTCTCCCGGTCTTCTCCCCGGCAACTGTAGGCACCCGACCCGGTATGACCAGGACGACCTGCAGTCCTTGACCCAGGCCTACGGAAGAAACCGCACGGTCGAACGTGTTTTGGAAAGCACGACGGCATTTCTAAGCATATTCACAAGCATTACGTTGTCTAGTAAAGCGTGGACGTGGGGGAGCAGGACCGTACGGCTTCGCCCAGAACTGCAGTCATTGCTTTACAAGCGCCCGGAGGAGGAGAAACCAAAGGAACGAAACGACGTTCAGAACGTGGAGACGGGAGGCGGGAAAATAAGGACTTGGAGGGGTTGCGGCTGCGGTGGCGGACCCCCTCCTTGCTTCCTCGGTGGCGACGGAAAACGGTCTCCTGGAGCTCCACAACCCGCCGTCCTCCGAGGGTCGGGGCGGGGGAGGGGGCGCGGTCGGGAGCCCCGGCCCCCGGGAGCCACGAGCTCTGCCCCGCGGCGCGCGCCCGAGCCCCCCGCGGCCGCGGCCTCGCCCCTCCGGGAACCTCGGGGGGCGGGGGCGGGGCGGCCGCCGCCAGGCCCTCCCGGAAAGAAACCCTCCTCCGGCGGAAGCGGCTGTGAGCTCGGCGCCCCTCCTCGGCTCTCCGTCTCCCGCGGGCCGCCTCGCGGGACAGGGCCGACGCACCGTCACCCCACTTTGCGATCCCCGGGGTGCCGGGGCGGGGGGGGGCTCTGGCTCTCCCCACCCTTCCGCCATGACCCCATTCAGAAGTGCCAAATGCAGCTTCCGGGCAGGACAGGGACTTCCGGAACCCTGACCTCTGGTCCACCTAGGTAAGTGACCAGACGTCCCAGCACAATAAGGGGCAGGAAGCCTGCGCCTTCCTCTCCCCCAGCCCGGGCAGGTAGTTCAGAATATGAATTAAGTTGTCTGACCTGGGATGTCTGGTCACCTTTAGTTCTCTTTCGGGCCTACTTGCCGATTTCTCTCTTCCCAGACGGCTCGACTGTTGCCCAGGGCAACGGTGAGATTTTTTTTTTTTTTTTTTTTTTTTGGGCGAAGGGAAAACTACGTCACACTGGAGACGGGAGGCCAGGAAACTCCGTGCCATTATCCGTTATGGCTGCCTTAGCTTCAACAGTAACTTCCGATTGGGAGTTGTCCCTCTACCCTGCTGGAGGCTTACTCGGCGGCTCGGCCGGCCCGCGGCGCCCAGTGGGCGGGAGAGACGGCGTAGAGCAGCTGAGGAGAGGAAAAAGGCGGGGCGAGGGAAGCTGGCGCCAGTGCCTCGCTGTGATTGGACAGCGTCGTTGGCGCCAGCGCCCCGCTCTGATTGGGCGGCGTCGGTATGCCTGGCTCCGCCTGCTTTTCTTCGCCAGCGAGTGACGGGCCTGCGCCGGAGGGGTGGGGCGGGGCGGTGGGAGCGAGAGTGTGTGGAGGCGCGGGCGGGGCGGGGCGGGGCGAGTGGGGGAGGGGCGGGCGGGGGGCGGCGGTTGGGCAGCGTCGCTTCTGAGGAGGAGGAGGAGGAAGGAGGGCGAGCGAGGAGGATGGCGGAGTTGGGGCTCCCGACGGTAACCCGGGGCCGCTGAGGCGGGAGGGTGTTTGTCGGTCGGCTCTTCCTGCCTTCTTTCCTGCCCGTCGGGCGGTCCGGCCGGCTGTCGGCAGGGGGAGGCCCCGCGCGCCCTGAGGGCAAGAGCCGGCGGGCCGGGCGAGGCCCGAGGGGCTGGGGCCCGGGGAGGCGCCGCCGCCGCCGCCGCCGTAGCCGCCGCCGCCGCCGTAGCCGCCGCCGCTGCTCTCCCGGGTGCGGGCGCGGGCGCGGGCGCGGGGAGGGCTGGGCCCTCGGAGCCGGCTCTCGTGCGGGGCCCGCAGCCCGGCGCCGGCGGTGAGCGGGGCGGCGCTGACAGCGGCCGGGGCCGGGCCTGCGGCGGCGGCGGGACGGCGGGGCGGCGGGGCGGCGGGGCGGCGCGCGGGCCGGGGGCGCCCGGAGCACGGCCCAGCCCGCTCCGCCCCCGGGGGCACCTGGCTCGGGCTGCGGGGCGCCCCGTGGGCGTCGCGGAGGCGGGTGAGGCTCGGCGGGGGGCCTTGGCGCGGCGCTGGCGGTGCGGGGTCGCGCCTTCCCCCGCCCCTTGCCCGGAGCCCGTCACTGTCTCCCCTCGTCGCCTCCCGGGGAAGAGCGGCGAGGTGGCTTAGGCTGTGCCGCCCGGCGAGCCTGCCCTCCGGCCCTGGCGGACTTGCCCGGTGCCAGCCTCCTTCCGCGGCAGCTCTTCGGAATAGAGGAGAAGTACTCTGCCCCCCCCCCGCCCCCCCGCGCTGGAGCCTTAAGGACCAACGACCCCCCCCCCCAGCCCCTCAGCCCTCAGTATCCATTGTTGTGTGCCATCCCCCTCCCCCGCCCCAAGCCTGGGTGGAAGGAGGAGGACTTCAAACCCTTAATTGCCCCCCTCCCCCGTTTTTAAATCGGCAGAGCTTATGTGGTATTGTGTTAGTATGGATTCACAAACAGGTGGAAGGAACACCGATTCGGGGAGTTGGAAAGAAGATGCTTTTGTGTGTGTGTGTTTTCAGGCTTGCAGCCCTTGACACTTGGTGATTTGATTTTCTCGTCTGTAGCTTTGTACCGTAATGGGGGTGATGAGAATAAAAGAGGAAGCAATGTGTTGCAACCTACCCAAAGAAATGTTTTTTTTCGGTCTCTGGGGATGCTGAAGCAAAATTGGGTTGCAGACGTGTACTGTCTAGTGTTTGCTTCCATCCTGGTAACTACCAACAGTCTGTGGCTGTTCCACCTGTGTAATTTTTGTGCCCTTCATGTGGGCTTCTAGTATCTACTGAGAGGGATTACGGTATCCAGAACTTATTTTTTTGTTTTTCAGAATCCTGGAGTATACGTGTGTAACCAGGGTTGTTGTTGTTGTTGTTGTTTTTTGTGTGTGTGTGTGTGTGTGTGTGTGTGTTTAAACGTAGCATTGACACTGGAAGATGATCTTCTATAAAGACTTCAGTTTATTAGGATACTGATTTCTACCCTGGCCCTTCCTTCCATACAGTTGCTCCTATAACTGTTAATGCGTATTTGAAGAAACTTAACTCTCGGATACAGCCTGTAACATCCATAGATTTATAGTTTGAACTTATCAAGTGTTCCTGACTTTCTATGTGACAGTGACAAGAATTTTTAGGAATGATATATATGACCATTTCCTACCTATGGAGCTTAGACTGAATATGATAAAATTTTTAAATACTTATTTGGACATAAGGTACATAAACTTTAATTATGAATATACATAAAAATCGAACGTAGACAAGTAAAAGCTTTAAGATTTGTGACTTTCAAATGGCTTGAATCTAATGTAAAGCTAACGTAAAACTGTATTCTTAAAGTGCCAGTTTTGAGGGGTGGACTTGGCCTATTTCTAAGATTACTACTATTTCTTAGGGTGTTTAGTTTTTGAAGAAACAACTGCATTTACTCTCAGGTTGGCATCTGTTTACCGATATCTCATTGTTAATACAGTTTCAGGTTTTTCTCTTGTTAAAAGTTGTTATGGATAAAAGAGCGATATTAAGAGATAAATAGCTTGCAGTTAGATTCTTAGAAAGTTTTTAAACTACCATATTCAGAAGGTTGATCAGAGCTGTGTTTCAGTAATTGTAACCAGACTTGTACAAGTTGGGAATTACAAACCAGTCAGAAATTTGAAACAAAAGGAATACCAAAATTATAAATTCTTGTGTTATATTGCTGGGATCGTGCTTTTCTGAATATTATTATTTCTTCAGTGACTTGGGACAGGGCTTGTCCCCATGCTCAGAGAGACATAAACTGGAATTCTACATGGAATATTTCCAGGGATGCCTTCTGAATAGCTGCTGGTGTGTGTGTGTGTGTGTGTGTGTGTGTGTGTGTGTGTTTAAGTAAAATCTCTATGCTCAGTGTGGGGCTTGAACTCACTACCCAAGATCAAGAGTGGCATGCTCTAACTGGGCCAGCCTGGCACCCCTCTGTTGGTATATTTTTGACTTGCCTTACCCATGTGGGGGAAAGGTAAATAAAATTGAATTTCTTTGTTATCCACACAGTCTCCTATTTGTTTTGAAAATACGGTGGTTTATCAATCTCTGTTGTGTAATTTAATATTTCTGTAAGACTTGTGTTCTTTAAACATTTTTTTAGGGTTTTTTTTTTTTTTTTTCGTAAGATATCCAAACTTCAGTTTTTGACTGAAAGTATACCTCAGTGTGTGCAGAAATAAGGATGAATTTTTTTTGGAGGTTGAAAGAATATATCTTTACAATTCAGTTTACTGTATTATTTATGTATCATTCACGTATGAAAAAAGCAAATAAGGCTTTAAGATTTGTAACTTAAAACAGCATAAAATAAAAAAAACCAAAACAAGACCAGTCCCCCACTCTCCCCGCCCCAAACCCGCTAAAACCAAACAGGTTGACCCACAAATCCTTCAGTGAGTTCTGAGGTTTATATTTTAACCTTGGTGGAAAGTGTTCTTGAATTAGTTTATAAAATATCAGTTCAGATAGGAGAGGAGATTTAGATAAAGAATAAACACTTTGACATTTCCTAATAAGACTGGTAGGGAAGTTGTAAATATTTTGTTGTACATAATTTAGATAGAAATGAGCTGTAATTTAGAAGCAGTGATACGTTAAGTACTTTCACGTGGTGCTTGAGAAATGAGTCCTGCAAATATTGGCTGCATTTTTGCTTATTGTTAGACTTATACTTCATACATTACATATTATGCATTGGCATATTATAATTTAAGCCTAAATCTTTCGTAGGCTAAATTATAAAAAAAAAAAGTTGCTATCCCTGTGTTCTGAATTTTGTTTTGTCTACTTAGTTATACCACAATAAAGTTATGCCATATAAATCTTTCCCAAAATGTTTTCTCTGATAATATACTAGTTAAAATTTTGTTTTTTCTCGACTCTGTTTACGCTGACTTTTAAATCTGAAAAATGTCTAAGTCACAAGGTGACCTATGGAATGCTTGAACTTTATATAGTGTTCTGAACTGTAATTGCAGTCAGTGAAGGTTGAAAGGAACAAGGATAAGTAGGAAAAACAGATTTATGTTCTAAAATATGTAATTGCATTATTTTTGAGGTAAACTCATGCTCATTCTTTGTTGGGTACTTTCCCCTGGTTCCCATCTTAGCGCAGCATCTTTAATTCTGCAAATCAAAGTTGTGACACCTGAAAAGAATATCCTAATTACAAAGGGCTCTTTAGCGTTTGAGATGTTGGTAACATATGTGCTTTCTGAGAAAGTATGAAGTTCCCATTATCAAGAATTAAAAGAACTAATTAGATTTCACACTATATATTTCATTCCAGCTTCTTGAAAGATCAGAACTGATTGCAAAAAGTAATGCATGCTGTAAAAGGTAAGGGTTCTTTTATCGGAAAGAATGAACATACTGCTTGAAGCTAAAACATTAAAGGAGACCTTAAAAGTGGATATAATTGGTCCCTATGTGAAATGAACCTGAAACACT